AGCATGGCACTCCGCAAGGGTGACGACACAAGAAAGAAGGACGCAAATGTGCCTTGCAGCCCACAGGCGAAGACCGGGCTTCGTAAACGTGAGCCCACTCGCAATCACATGCCAACCCTTCCTCCTCCACCAGCCGCATCCGCACAGCCTTCCCTGGTCCAAGCTAATAATAATGGTGACACTGAGGGGCGCCTGGGTGGTTCAGCTGGTTAAGCGTCCAACTCTTGATTTCGGCTCAGGTCATGATCTCACAGTTCGTGGAGTTGGAGCCCCACATCGGGCTCTGCACTGACAGCGTGCAGCCCGCCTGGGATTCTCAGTCTCCCTCTCTCTCTGCCCCCCACCCCGACTCACTTGCTTGCATGCTCTCTCTCTCTCTCTTTCAAATAAATAAATAAATAAATAAATAAACAAACAAACAAACAAACAAACACTAAAAAAATAACGGTGACAGCCACAACTCTCATTTCACGGAGTCTCCCTGTATGCCAGGCACTGTGCTCTCATGTCATTTATGTGCCTTATCTGATTTATCCCTCATCAGAGCCCCAATGAAGCAGGCGCTATCTTTATCCCCATTTTACAGACAAGGAACCTGAGGCTCAGGGAAGGTAGGGAACTTGCCTGAGGTTAGGCAGTCAGTTAAGTGGTGGTGCTGGGATGAACCCCACAGGGGTTCCAAGGTCAGTGATTTCAGCTCCTGTATGCCAGGCCTTAGGGCTTCAAAGAACAGAGGTCGGGACGTCCTGTCCACTGGGGGTTGCAGGGAAGGGGACACTTTCTAACAGCCACGGCCAAGCAGATGCTTACAAAGGGAGAGGTGCCCTCGCCTCCTCTGACCTACCCATCTGAAGAGGTACCACTGGGGCACTGGGATGGACAAAATAGCAACTGTCAAACAAACACCTTTTCTACTTCTTGCCCTAGTCTTTGTCCCTCTGTGCCCTAACCAGCCAGTGGGGCCAAGGAACAGAATGCAAGGGGAAGCAGAGCTGGGAAAGCAGGTGGGGGTAGAGCTTCCACGCCCCCTGGGGTCCTTCCACCCTATACCTGGGCCATAGGTTCTTGTCAAGGGGGTGGCTCTGAATTAGCCAGAGCTCAGGACTCTGACCAGGGGCCTGTCTCCTGAAGACTGAGGTCCCTGCCATCGACTGATATTCTCAGGGCTGGATGACCTCAAGAAGCCCTACACACTAGAAGGTTCACGATGCTCCCTGTGTGTAATCCCACAGACAAACACAACACGCCAAACCAAAACGAGGAAAGCAATCTAACAAAGGGCACACAGAAAGCTCTTGTACTGGTGGCTTCCCCTAGGGAAAGAAACTAGGTGGCCGGAGGAAAGGGCTGGGAGGGACATTCACCTCTCCCTTGTACCTGTTTTTTTAATGGAAGGGTAATTGACACACAACGTTCCATTAGTTTCTGGTGTAAAACATAGTGATTCGACATCTCTATATATTATGCTCCGCTCACAAGCATAGCCGCCATCTGTCACCACACAACACTATTACGACACAACTGACTGTATTCCCTATGCTGTACCTTTCATTCCCATGATTTATTCTATCCGTAACTAGAAGCCTCCACCTCCCACTCTACTTCATCCATTTTGCCCCCTCCCACCCGCCTCCCCTCTGGCAACCATCATTTTACTCTCTGTGTTCATAGGTCTGTTTCTGCTAGTTGGGTGTTTGTTGTTGGTTTGTTTTTTTTTTTTTTTTAAGATTTTTAAAAAATGTTTTTAAATGTTTATTTATTTTTGAGAGAAACAGAGACAGAAGGCGAGTGGGTTGGGGCAGAGAGAGAGGGAGACACAGAATCCAGAGCAGGCTCCAGGCTCTGAGCTGTCAGCACAGGGCCCGACGCTTGAACTCACGGACTGTGAGATCATGACCTGAGCTGAAGTCGGGTGCTTAACTGACTGAGCCACCCAGGCTCCCCTTAAGATTTTTTTTAAAGTAATGTCTACACCCAGTGTGGGGCTCAAACTCACGACCCTGAGATCAGAGTCACATGTTCTTCCAATTGTGACAGGAGGCACCCCTGTTTTGTTTTGTAGGTTTCACATATAAGTGAAATCGTACAGTCTTTGTCTTTCTCTTCTTTCACTTAGTACAATACCCTCTAGATCCATCCATGTTGTCACAAATGGCAAGATTTTTTTTTTTTATGGCAGAGTAACATTCCATTGTACATATATGCCACATCTGCTTTATCCATTCATCTGTCTATGAACATTTGGGCTGCTTCCATTCCATTCCTTGGCTACTGTAAACAATGCCACAATGAATATAGGGGTGCAGATATCTTTTCGAGTTAGCGTTTTCATTTTCTTTGGGTAAATGCTCAGAAGTGGGGTCATTAGATCAAATGGTGTTTCTACTTCTAATTACTTGAGCAAACTCCATACCGATTTCCACAGCGATTGCGCCAATTTTCATTCCCACCAACAGTGCGCGAGGGCTCCCTTTTCTCCACATCCTCATCGACACTTGTTACCTCTGGTCTTTCTGACTCTAGCCATTCTGACAAGGGTAACGTGGTATCTCATTGTGGTTTTGATTTGCATTTCCCTGACGATCAGTGATGTTGAGCATCTTTTCATGTGTCTGTTGGCCATCTGGATGTCTTCTTTCCCTTATATCGTTTTGAATGTTGTAGCATGTGGGTATGTATTACCTTTATAAAAATGAATAAATTGACTGGGAGGCGGCAATTTCTGGGGAACAACTGGGGTGCTGGGAATGCTCTACGTCTTAATCTGGGTAGTATATACACAGGTGTATGTAAATGTGACATTCATCAGGCCGTACGCTTAACATTCATGTGCATTCTGTATGCTAGACCTCAATAAACACTAAGGAAAAATAGTAACAAAGTGTTAAAGCTGAACTGAAGTATTTTTCCTACAATGACTACTTTATCACTTTTCGAAATATCAAACATCGGTTCTCCCCCCCCCCCCCAAAAGGGGCTCTCCCCGCCTTCCCCTTCTTTCTGGTACCTGGGAAGCTTGGTCTGTTTACCGTATGACCTAATACCGACCATCCCTTGAGTCCTGGACTTTGAGCCCCGTCAAAAGGCCATGAACGCCTTCCCGGAGCCAGGGGCAGCAAGAGCGTCTGCGGAGTCGGCCCTGCCACAGTGGGGTCCACAGCCAATCTTGCCAACCTTCGAATGTTCAAAGGCTAGCACGCCACCTCATGCAGAGTTTGTGTCGAGTAAACAAGCTCATCGACAGCCACGTACATGCCTGATCCCAAGTTCAGCTCCTGTTTTTACACACACACACCCGGCTTGTCACACACACAGGACACACATATACAAACACAAACAGTCCCACGCACGCACCTCGCCATCCTCGGCCATCTACACACATACCCGGCCCGGTGCAAATACCCGCACACGGACACACCATCCTGACCGCATGTGAAGTTGTGGGTCCACGCCTCCCTCCCCACTGCTTTACTCTGCTTGGGGCACCCTGTTTCCTGTTTCCTTTGTCCCCACAGGAGGGCCTCTGCTCAGGGGTGCTGGGCTCTTGGTCACCACATGACTGGCTCTTCCTCACATCCAGCTCTCAGGGCACATGTCACCTCTTCAGGAAAGCCCTCCTGGATCCCTCCAGTTAGGGACGCCACTGGCACCCCCGGTCACTTGCTAGCACATGAAGCTGTTTTCACGTTTCTGCAGAACACTCCTGAGAATCTAAAAGTGTCCTATTTACTGGGTTCTTTGTGTAGTCTGCTGCCTCCCACTGGAATGAAGCTCCGTGAGGGCAAGGACCCCATCTTCTTCACTCCATTATTGCCAGCACCGTAAAAGGTACCTGGCACAGGTGCCCCGGACGCATCTGTTGAATGAATGATGCATGGGAGGGGGACGCAGAGGGGCACCGAAGGAAAGTAGAATGAACACCAGACGTTGGGAAGTTACATGGGAAGAAGGGGGAGCTTTCTCAGGTCTGCCTCCCAGACACATTATGTTTCAGATGATGTGGGTGACCCAGGGTTTCTGGTAAGCAGACAGCAGAAGCAGGAGGCCAGAGAGTGAAGGGAAACATGCAATGGGGAGAATAAATACGCATCTGGTCGGGGGAAACGAGCTAGACAGAGAAAAGGAGGAGGGGGCAGAGGGGCATGAATGAGCCTAGAGTTCCTCAAATCTTGAGGGAGGGACAGGAAGTAGATCGCCCTTATGGTCGCACACCTGCCAGGAATGAGCAAGAACCCTCCCTGCCCCTCTCTCCCAAACTAAGAGGAGGCCGTGGCAGCCAGGTGGAGCCGGGGACTTACCCACCGGACAGCATCTCCCCAGAGGGATGGGGGAGTCACAGGCAGAGGGCCACAAGGGGTGGGGCCGAGCCTGGGCGCAGCTGTGCACAGTAGCCCCAACAGGTGAGGAAGAACACTGGGAACTCAGCTACTTCCTCCTTGATGCAGCCCTCCAGGCCAATGGCACCACAGCGACAACGACGAGCCCCCTGACTAGTAATCCCTGAAAAAGGGACAGGTGGGCGGGGCTGGCCTCAGACTGCCCACAGAGGCCGGACTCTACCTCCAGCCCCGCTGGGTAGTCCAGGGCCGTCGTCCTGGCCTCCTTCCTTTGGGAGGGGAGGAGCCACTTGGAGCTCCACCTGGAGCTCAAGCTGACAGAGCAGCTGGAGGGAGGGCGGGTGGAGGCAAAGACCAGGAAGTAACCCTGGCCAAGGGAACACCAACCAATAGGGGAGCCTCCCAGCACACACACAAGCCAGGGGGCCTCAGGAAAAACCCAGGAAGAAGAGGTGCCACCTGTGCAGGCCTGACCACCCACCCATCCAGGGTGTTAAGGGGCAAGTCCTTCCTCCCACCGTGCCCTGGAGCAGGCAGAGTTGGGCCCAGCAGGAACCTAGGAAGGATCTGGACAGGGAGTTGAAGCAGCCTGGAATGGCAGAGGGAACCTGGGGCCAAGCGGTGGAGGTTGTCAGGGTCACAAAAGACTGACACTGAGGCTATGTCACAGGCATGTTTATTATCCTCTGGAACATCAAGGTCTTCCCTTCCTGGGCAGTGTCCCAGGGGAGGGCCGACCCTCAGGAGGCAGCCACGCTGCCACCGGGAGCAGGCCCGTGGGGCGGCAATGTCATGGGTGGCAGGAACAACGCCTTCAGCTTGCCCGACAAGCTGGCAATCTCGGGATCCTGGGCTTCATAAGACTTGACCAAGCGGGCAAACTTAAGGACACCTGCAAGGGGAAGTGGAGCGTCAACCCACACCCCCAGGGGACAAGTGTGCCCCAGACATCAGGAGGGGGCAGCTTGAGCCTGAGTCACTGGTTGCTCCCCCTCTAGTCAGGGAGCTGTCTACAAAATAAGACACAAGCAGTCCTCTGCCCTGTGTCGTTTGGGTGAACCATTTCCAGGTCTATACCCATCACAGCTGGATGGGATGCACTGAATGAAATATCCCAAAGCAGTGTGTGTCTCATGATCAGGTGAAACATTTTAGCAATTTAGTCACAAGAACCTGAAGCATGAACATCCACAAGATCTCAAGTCTATAACCTGGACACAGGAGGGCCATGGGCCAACTGGGCTGAATCAATAAGCACCTTTGGGGAACACCATGATCTCATCAAGGAAATTAGCCAGCCAACCCTCCAAAAGAGACTAGCTAAAACACGTTGGAGGGGCTGCACAAGTGCACTGTCACGCAGACATCCAACTAGAGCTATCGGAAGGGGGTTCCAGTCCAGCTCTGCTGTGACCTCAGGCACTTAGTTTACTGCTAGAGTCTGTTCCCTCATCTTAAAATGGGGTAACAGTATAATTACGGGTAACTGCAAACAGCATTTAAGACTTCGCCTGGCACAAGTTCACAGGAGACCCTTGGCTCTGCCCGCCAATACTGTTCGTCAGATTGTGGCTGCCTCCGTGTGGCAAGATGAGGGAGGACGGCTCAGGGACCCGATGGATCGAGCGCCCTCTCCCGGACCCACTCACCCCGACCCTCATCCGACCCACCTTCCCCGTCGCAGCTGAAGCCATAGGCCTTGATAACCTCCTGCTGAATCTGCGTGGCCACGGGCAGCACGAATTGCAGCATTTTGCCCATGTCGTTGCACGCGTTGTCCCGAGCCTCGTCCATGCGCACGGCGTTCTCCGGGGCCGAGAACGCCTGGATGACCTCGGCCAGGACCACTGTGCGGCAGATGCATCCCCGGGTAGGCGTCAGAGCATGGCCGGCGGGCCCAACCGAAAGCGCAGGGAAGAGGGCAGGGAATTAGTGGGCTGAAGCCATAGTAACCCGATAAACTCGGCCTAGATTCCCTCGCTCTAGGGGCAAGGACCCCTTTTGGGGGAGAGAGAAAGATGGTATCCTGTGCCCCCATTTCCCGGCGGCGCAACTACACCTCTCGCTCCGTACCCTCCGCCCGCGCCCTTCTCCAACAGGAAGCCCACCCGGTGGCTAGAATGCTTCTCACCCTTGGCTTGCTCGGCACTCAGGGCCGCAGGTTGGGCCGAGGCGGACGCCATAGGGTAACAAAAGCTGCACGTGCAGCCGAACCAAGGAAATGCACGGAAAAAACGATCAGCCTGCTAGAGCGACTCTCGAAACTGACGGGGGTGGAAGGGAAGCAGCATCAGCAGCAGCCGGAAGCCTCGCGGTGCAGCGCAATATTAAACGCCAAAACGCCTTAAAACGAGAGATGACCCAACTGGACTCGATGCCATTGGGAGGTAAAAGAAAAAAAAAAAAAAAGAAAAGAAAAAAAAAAAACCTAAAAGCGAAAACCGCTCCTAGAACCGAAGTAGCTCTGTTGTTGAAAACGCACTGTGGAGGGGGTCTTCCGGTAAAAACCGGAAAACCTGCTAGACAAATTCTAAAAGAGCTGTAACACTACAGGAAGTGGCCTGGAGAGAACATGGGATATCCATGAACGCCACTATTGGTGAGGGTGAGCTCAGTGTCGAGTTTTCTAATTCTGATTGCTGTATAATCAACGAGGGACACTATAACTTTCAGAAGGAAAGACAGGGGAAAAAGAAACTTGTTTATATCATCCATTTCTAGAGTTTGTGAACATTTGATTCGGACCTATGCAAATGAACCCAAAGCTGATTGGCTGGGAAAGCTGGTCACACCCCCTGCAGTTTTTGAGAACGATGTGATTCGCTGCAATAAACGCTGAGCGCTGAGGCGGCCCCCGTGCTTGCCTAAAATGGCCTTGTGCAGGGGTGTGCGCTCCAAAGTAACGCCCTCCAATTTCTCTTCTCTTCCACACGTTTGAAATGGTCACCCACTTCCTCCTCAAACCAAGGAGTACTTAAGAATCCAGACTTCGAATCGCTTTATCCTAGTGGAACTCCGCCCCTGCACCTCCGCTTCATAACCGTTTCCCAATCTATTCGACGGAAAGGATTCTGGACCCCGGTGGCTCCTAGCTGTGGGGCCAGTGGCAGAAACGCCTCCAAAGTCTGAGTGGCTTCCTAGGCCTGACCCTGTCAGAGGCGGGCCTGTCCTTGGCCTCCAGCATCTGGACTTCCCAGCCTTGCAACTCAAGAGGGGACTGGCTAGCTCCATAGTACCCCTCCAGCGGAGCCAGGGCTCCAGGGCCCCTGGCTCTTCCGAGATCTCCTCTCCAACTCTGCAGGGGTCGCTACACCCCCTTGTGTCCGGTTCCACAGCCTTCTCTCCAGGCACTACTGCGTAGTCCCCCATCACCACCGCCCCAATCCTCCCCCACAGCCCGCAAAGAACCAGTCACAGCCATCTTCCTGGGGAGTCGTGAGGATGTTTTTGTTTGGTTTTGGTTGGGATGTTTTTTAAAGAGCGTCATATAGATATTTATATATATAAATTATTAATGTCGGGGAAGGGCAAGGGGCATACATCGCAGAAGGGACGCGCGCACGGGGACTGGGGAGGGGCGGGGGCGGCACACGATGCTACGCAAAACAGCCACATCTAACAGATGAAATAATCACACCAACGGGGTGGGGGAGGGGCAGTGGCCACCGGGGGTTGGGCATGGGGGAGGAAGAAAGCAGGGGGACAAGAAAGAGGGACCTGGTCCAAGATACTGTGCGCTTTCTGCCCCCACCCCCCACCCCCACCCCTGGCCACCCCACCTCTGCATACCACAGGAGCCTTGGCCTTCCATCTGTCCCTTCCTCCCTCCCTCTGCCCAGCTGCTGAAACCCTGCAAATGAGCAGCACCCCTCCTCAGCCGTGGGTGGCAGGCTGGGAGGGAGGCCTCCGAGGTCCAAATGCAGGGGCCATGGGTGCTCTCTTGATTGCAGGTTCTACAGTGGCTTGTCGCTTTCCTTCTTCAGGTGACTGGGTGGAGAGGGGATGCAGAGCAGAGGCATGAGACACCGAGGTCAACCCCGACCTGGCCCCTCTCACAGAGGAGGACTGTGGAGGAGGGGCTCCTTCCCCCAGAGGCCAAAGGCCAGCAGTGCGCTGCCCACACCCCATCCCCGGCTGGCTAAGGTCACACCCCCTCACCCCTGGCCCAGGGGTGTCCCAGGGTACCTGTAGTAGTCCTCCTGGGCAGGTAGCGGCACACTGTGCAGCGGGTGATGGGCGTGCAGCCACTGCTGCTGCTCCAGCGCCAGGCGCTGCAGCTCGGCCGACTGCGCGTGCATGGCCTGCAGCTGGTGAGCTGCAGACATCGGGGCAGAGAGGGAGGCTGGCAGGTCCCGGTACGGAGCAGCTGTGGGCAGGAAGGGCGGGGGGGGGGGGGGCCCGCGCATGACTGCTGGAGTCCTGAGTACTTACTCTGGGCCAGGACAGAGCTGGCCACCTTACAGACAGAGGAAACTGAGGCTAAAACAGGCAAAAGCCAGTCCTGGAGAAGATCCAAACTTCCGCCTGGCACTAAAACCTGTGCCTCTCTTGGGCAGGGCCTCAGCCCTCCTTCTCCTGTTCTCAGCTCCTCTGGTTACCTCCTCATCCCTCCCCAAGCCCAAACAGGCTAATCCTACCACCCAGATTCCTCCTTTCTGCCCTTCTCTCGTTCGACCTTCCCCACCCCCAACCTCCATCCTTACCAAAGAGCTGGTGACGAAGAACTTCGTTCTCGTGCAGAGGGTGAGGAAGAAGGGGGTTGGGGAGGGTCCCAGCTGGGTAGGGGATCCGGGTAAGGTGAGACCCTGAGGCCAGGGGGTCAATGAGAGGGTGCACCGAGGCAGAGGCTAGAGGGTAGAGAAGAGGAAGGTGTCACCAGAAGGCAGGTTTGGGGAAAACCATGCATTTGGGTGAAGGGATCCAAGCCTGGGAAGAGATGGACAATCAACACAAGGGAGACCTAGTGAGGAACAAAGAGACACAATGGAAAAACTAAGGGCCTGGTGGGTGGTCAGGACAAGACCTTACTGGAGTAGGGACATGTGGATGGCAGAGAATAGGAGACGGCAGTTGTCAGAGGGGTCTGAGGAAAAGGAGAGACGTGGACTGCTTAGAGGAGATAGGAAGGGATAGAAGTTTGGGAAGTAAGACAGGAAGAGAGAGGCGGCTAAGAGAGAGAGAAAGCACAAGGGAGCCAGGAAGGACTATGACTGTGAGGCTAAACCCAGCAAAGTACTGGACAAAAGGAAATACAGCGAAAGGATAGTAAATAAAGCGCATTAGCACCTATGATAACCCCAGTCAAAGCTATAGAGCTGTTTCTGGAAGGTAGGAGGCCTGGAGATGGGGAAAAACATGAAAGACCTCCACCTGGGAGGAGAGAAGATGGCAAGAAATGATAACAGAGTTGAATTCAAAGGAGCAAGGACCCAGGTAAGGGGGGGGGGGGGCTGTTCTGAGGGTAGAAAGGTGGCGTTCCCTCAAAGGTTTCCTCTATCGTGGGTGGGATGCTAGACTGTGAAGAGGGGCGGGGTGTGGGTTATTACAGTCTCTGGGGCATGAAGAGATGGGGGATGACAGGGAGGCCAAGATCAGGGGAGCAATCCCGGGAGAGAGGCTCATGCCAGACTAGAGGAGAAAAGTCTTGGCCTGAGGAACAGAAGACCCAATTACTTGCCAGGGGACAAGAACACAATAAAGACAAAGAAGTAGTCTCACCTGCATGGATGGCGTCCTGCTGGTGGAGGTGCAGGTGGGAGTGGATGTGGGAGTGCTGGTGGTGATGGGGGGTCACATTGAGCATCTGCAGCCGGGCCAGCGGGTCATTGCCCAGGGCTGCCACCCTTTCTGCATGCTGCCTCTCGGCTGCCAGACGCTCGGCGTAGGACATGTCAGGCCGCAGGGCTGGACCAGCTGCCAGCGCTAGACGTTCTCTCTCCAGGGGCCCCAGGCTCGGATGAAAGGGGAAAGGGTGCAGGCCGGGTGGGCCAGGCTGCAGAGCCAGGCCCCCATGTCGGGGGAAGGGATCCAGGCCCGGCCCAGGGACCCCATGTAGGGGTTCCAGCTCACTGGGCTTCACCTCAAAGCCAGGCTTGAGGCGGTCACGGAGGTCTCGTTCACGGGCTTCCCGCTCCCTCTCCCGGGCTGCTGGGTCACTGCTGTACAAAGCCGGGACATTGTAACCCAGGAGCCCCGGGTCCACTGCCCCTAAGGGCACGTAGAATGGATGGTTGCGATTGCCGGGAGACATGACGTGGGGCCGGGCGTATTCACTGAGCGTGCGCAGGGCTGGAGTGTCAGGACCCAGGTAGGGGGGAACTGTAGCCACAGCACTGCCCGGCTCAAATGGAGGGCGATGGGGCACTGGGCCGAGAGATGGGCACTCCACTGGAGCCCGGCCCTCCTGAGCCAACTTCTGTGGGATACAGGGAGAAGCAAAGTCAAAAGAGCAGGTCTGGTAAAATGTGGCTGATCCGGAGCTGCTCAATTGTCTCGGCAGCTGAAGGCCAAAATGCGTCACCTTACTGGAACTCAGCCTAGTAGGAATTTCCCTAAACCTTCTCCTGAATATTGGCTCTTCTTACCATCCACAGGTACTCTGATCTGAATTTGCCTCCCCCACCCAAGGGAGGATGCAAGGAAGGATTCCTCCCGCTGGAATCCCTGGGTCTCTATTTCCTGGGCTGCCGTGCTTCCTCCTGTCCGACAGGGGGCGCAATGACTTCCCCGGCCCCCCCCCCCGGCCCCCCCCCCCCCCCCCCCCCCCCGCGCGGCGCAGAGGAAGGCCAGAAGGCGGACGGCGCATGTGGTGACGCACCACGCTGCGTTCCAGCTCGCGCTCCTTCTCGCGTTCCCGCTCCTTCTCGCGTTCCCGCTCGCGCTCGCGCTCCTTTTCTTCGCGCGCGCGCTGCTCGGCCTCGCGCCGCACCTTCTCAACCAGGTCGGCCCGCTTCTTGGCCAGCTTGGAGCCCTCCAGCGGCACGAAGTACAGGTCGCTGCGCGCGCACGAGTTAAAGCCGCGGTCCAGGTGTTTGTTGAACCTGGCGGGCGCGAGGGCAGCGCGCGCTTAGCCTCTGCGAGCGGCCCGAGCGACCCCGCGGTGACCCTGCCCCCAAACCGGCCCGCGCAGGCGGTGAGGGAGGCGAGGCCCCCCCGAGTACTGTAAAAGGCACCACACGAACGTCAAGGCTCCCCTCTTGTCGCCTCTGCCGGTCTCTCCATTGCCCCTTCGTCGTTCCCCGTTCCAGGCCCAACCGCACCCCACCCTGGCGGCTCACCTGGCTGACTGGCTGGCATGGCTGGGCACGTCTACCACCTTGGGAGGGGGCGAGGGGCTGCGGGCCGGGGGCGCCGGACTCTCGGGGGTCTCATACTCTTCAGCCGGCTCTTGCTTG